ACTGCCTCTCTCCCAGCTACTTACCTTGGTTTAGAAAGTTAATTGCTTTCATGCACGCATATTCCTCATTGCTAACCTTTAGCTGATGGAACTTGTGATACAGATAGATGAGCCGTTCAATCACTTCCATCCCTTCATCACTAAATCTGGAGAACAGACATAGGGTTTACCCACAGGCTCTGATATCAGTGGAGGCCAGAAAGAGCAGACAGAGGGCTCCTACAGCTTGCTCCTTAAGGTATCTACAATAGCAAAGAGGATGAGCTTGGGGGAAATGGAATCCACAGGTCTCTCATGCCAGCTGCTATTCCCAAGGTCAGGCAGAGTCAATCAAATCTAGGTTCAAATCCAGCTCCATCAGACAGTCATTTGACCCCGTCTAAGCTTTGAGGTCTTCCTCTGCAAAATAATAATACTTGCTGGTTTGGGGTACCAAGGGCCAAAGGAGGTTTAGGATGTAAAGTGGAGAAATAGGACAATACTGAGATACTGCTTTTGTTGAGATGCAGCCTCCAATACCAATGGCAGCTGCCATGGTGACTCTACGCGAGCCTCTGCCACAATGCTGAAAAAACTGCCAATTTTATTTGTTTAGGTTCACTGTTTCAAGCAGGGTTGAGGTTAAGCACCATGAAAAATTCTGTTGGCATACCTGACTTCAGCTAGGGTGGAAAGAAAACATCTGAGTCTCCATGCCATGCTAACCTCTGTGCTGGGCACTTTCTGTGCATTTTCTCATTTAATTCTGTCAACTTTTTGTACTAGGTGACATATTCATTACTGTTGTGCAGATGAGAAAACTGAAGTTCAGACAAGGGAAGGGACTGGTTCACCAGCACACAGCTAGCTGGTGACAGAATTAGAACTTGGAACCTGGCTAATCCCCTGAGGCCTTGGTTTTTCCAACAGTATATTCTAACAGAAGGGGCTCAAAGCTGGCCATGCTCCCTTCTTTGGGTCAGAAATGAGATCGTGGGGAAAAGATTAAGTTTTAGGCAAAGGAGCCCAGGCTAGGCCACCCCAAGGACTAATGCTCTGGGTATGCTTCATACCAAAAATGGAGATACCAATAAACCAAGGAGGTAAGTGCTTAATGAGAAAGCAAAAGTTTGTAAAAACTGGGGTCAGGACTGGCCGGAATCAATCTAGGGGTGGCTGGACAGTGGGCCAAGGAGAGTTCCACCCACACAAGCCTTAGATGCAGTTCAGTTACAAAGAGATGATACTCAACCTCATGGCTGCTTCTTGATTCAGATATGGGCACTGGAGCTTATTTTGGTATCCCGAGTATTCTGGACACTTGTGAATACACTTTTGCTTTCTGGAATCTACATCTTTTTGTGTTAATTTTGAAGGTTTTGGCTTCCTGGACAAGTAAGATATTTTTTCTTTTCTGGCACTGGTTGGGGCCAGAGGTACCTACAATTCTCAAGCACCAGGGGGAGCCACAGCAGTAGGTAGCTGCATTCAGGAGCTTTGACCCCTCTGCCTCATGGCATGGCTCCCAGTCAGTCTAAGCTTCTCTTAGTTTGCTGATTTAAGATATCATGGCTAACTCAATTTCTTTCTCATCTGGCCCAGTGGTTTCAACAGCATTATTGATACTTTCACAGGCTGGCTGATAGGTAAAGATTCTGCCAAGTGCTACCTGCTAGGTGCTTTACTGCACATACATGATCTCATTGGCCACTCCTAATAACTCAAAAAAAATGTATATTAATTATAATCCCCTTTGTTCAGAGAGGTTCTTTACTATGCCCCTGTTTCTCACATGATAACCTGTGGGATAAAAAATATCACTTCTATGTTAGGGATGAGGGAGCAGAAAAAGAGGTGATTTCCCCAAAGTTACAGAGAAGTGCATGCTGGGGGAGCCCAGGTTCAAACTTGGGTCTTCTAATTCCCAGCTTATAAGCTTTCCCAGTGCTTTGCCGCTCACCCCAACTCTGTCAGGTTCAGTCCTGGGTGAGCATTTGGTGTCTCCATGATACCGAGATCACAGAAAGCAGTGTGCCTAGAAGTAAAGTCCACTCCTCATGACACTACTTTGTTGGCTACTTATGCTCTTGAGAGGGAAAAAAGGGGGAGGGGGGCTTGATTCCCTTAAGAATCTGTGTTGAAGGGTGGGTGGGGATTAGATGAGGTGAGGTAAGGAGAGCAGCATCTGTCTGGTGGCTCAGTAGTGTAGCAAGTAAAGATAATGTTCTGTCCCTTAATCAGCAACCTCTTGCCCCAAGTACTCATTCTGGCACTGCAGAATCTGCAGGTGTGTGGCTATCAGCCAGAAGCCTAGCCAGCAGTGCCAAACCTGTTCCTGGCTCAATCCTGACTTGGGAGACACAAAGGAGCTCTAAGTGCTTGATCTGTGCATAGGCACCAGATCTGTCCTTTCTCCTTGGGACAGTACATCCCTTTTTCAAAATTTCCTATAACAGGCAACCATCATGGACCCCTGGCAGTGGTGGGGGGCTGGCTGCCAGCCCAACAGCCCCCACTCCGTCTCCTCAGCTCGACTGCAAAGCTTTCCTCTACACCCACATCCCACCACTAGATAAACAAAGTTGTTCTCTGTTCCATGGGCCTGCTTCCTCCCGTAGCCATGCCTCCTCCACATCTGCCCACTCCACAGTTCTAACGCCCCTGTATTCCCTGTCTACAAATTATCAGCATTCAAAGCCATAAAGTTGGACAAACACACCCATTCTTCTTCTAGGTTCCTATCACACAAGCATGCTAGGACAAGGAAAACACTCCTACCAGGATCCCCCAAATCATTGGACCATTCAGTCAGCAATTGCAGCTGACACTATATAAGTTATATCCCATTAAGGGGCGGAGAAGCCCAGTTGTCTCTTTGCCATTCATCTAAATGCATCTTTTTCCAGGAGCAGCCATCAGCTTCAAGCTTCAAGGAATTGCTGTCTCAGCACCCACATACAGACTTCAAGATGAAAAGTCAGATTACAGCAACCAGGACAAAGTCCAGAAAATCAAACCTTTTGAGAAGGCTCTGGAAAAATGAAAATTTGTATAGTTTAATGGTAAAAAGCCTAGGCCTTGGGGGTACAACAGACTTAGATGAGTCTTAACTCCACCTCTTTCTAGTTTTTCAGGTGTGAATTCTCACGAATCTCATGCTCCTCATCTCTACAACAGATATAGTATTAGTCCAGTCTCAACACTAATTTGAACACTCAACAAATAACAAATCAAAAGCACTTAAGATGAAATTTGTCACAATAAAAAAACTCTACATTTGTTAGCTATTATTAACAGTATTAGTATCATCCTCATAAAGAAAAGATTGTGTTTCCTGAGCTCTATAGGGTACAATCTGGGAAGCTGAGAGGCAACTTTCCAGAGACTTGGCCAAAATGGAGCTAGTGCTTAAGAGATAGAAGTGCCCATTAAAGTCCATCTAGCTCAAGGCATCTTCTCCTAGGAGTGAAGGAGTGTTGATTAGGGCCAGGAGCAGTCACTGGCTGGTGCTACAATCTGCTTTAAATCAAATTCATCCAGCTCACTCTCTGATAACAGTCTGATTAAGGAATATGGGCACCATAAATTTGATTGGATATTTGAGAAGAGAAAGGGGATGGTCATGCATCATCTGGGAATAGCTATTCCTGACAGTAGGTACTCACACTCGAAAGCTGTGAAGAAGCAAAGGCCATCTGGGGGAGTGGGAGTAACACAGGCAGGAAAGAGCTATGGCCAATTAGACTCTACATCCTAGGATTCTAGCAGAGAGGGGATGCTTTACAGTGATTAGCCTGACTCCAGAGGCTCTCACACTTCTATATCCTATGCCCTGGTCCAATATGCACCTTAGATTCATAGACACCCAAACCGAATCAGAGCATTTCATCTCCCGTCCTGCTCTTCTCAGGCTCCTTTATCTTGGGCCTAGGTAATCCAAAACCCCAGCAGTCATCCCCAACTTTTCTCACTCACAGAAGTCTCACTGATTTTACCTCCTTAACATCATTTAGCTTTGTGCTACCCTCTCTACTCCCACATCACTGTTGCTTTGTCCAGGTCTTGTTTTCTTTCTTTCTTTTCTTTTTTTTTTTTTTTTTTTGGTTCTGGGATTGAACCCAGGGATGCTCTAACCCAATCCTTTTAATTTTTGAAACAGGGCCTCATTAAGTTGCTAAGGCTGGCCTCCAACTTGCTCCAGCCTCAGCCTCCCAAGTCACTGGAATTATAAGCATGTGCTACCATGCATGTCTGGCCTTGTTTTCTTTCACTTGGCTATGGAATAGCCTCCTAATCAACTACCTCATCTTGTCCAATCCACCCTGAGCTTTATGGCCACAGAAATGTTTCTAAAATGCAACCTATGTGATTCCTTCATGTAAAACCACATTCAAACCCAAATTCTTTCGACTGGCATTCGAGTACCTTTCTGAACTGTCTTGTTTATATCTTTTTTCCTCAGTCACTGATCCCTTCATTTTTCTGTCTCTCACATAATTCTCTTTATGTCCTAAATCCACAGGACTGCTTTTGGGGCCCTGCATAACTTCTAGAATTTTGTGCTATTCTCCTGTCTTCCATCTCTTCTGTACAACTTAGAAATATTGCACTTCAAGGTACAGTTTAAATGTCTATTATCATTGTTACTGTTTGTGGTACTGAGGCTAGAACCCAGGGCCTCACACATGCTAAGCAAACACTCTACCCAGAGGGACACCCCCCCAGCCTTCCAATGTCTATTTCTCTGATGAGCCTTCCCTGGTTCGACAAGTAGCCCTCATTCCCATCTGTGTTTCTATAGTCCTTCACACTCTCCTTGGTCTCTTCCAGTATGACCTTGCATTGGAGACTGTTTCTATGTGCCTCCCAAACCTCTAAACCAAGAATATGGTTTCTCAGAATCAGAAACCTTGTCTGCATTATCTGTGACCGCAGCACACCTTCCTGAACATACACACATACTCAGTAAATGGCCAAGGATCAGAACTAACACGTTGAAGTTAACTCTTAACTCTTCCATTGATGGGTTCCATAGTAGAGTAAGAAGTCTAACAACAATCCATTTCTTATCCTCAGAACTCCCTTGAAAGCTCAGCAGCAACATGTGTTCTAGAGTCAGCATAGCTTAACAAAACTTTCTGTGATGATGGAAATGGCTATATTTGCACTATTCAGCATAGTAGCCACTAGCCACATGTGGCTACTCGGCACTTGAAATGTGACACGAGCATATGATAAACTGGATTTTTAATTTAAAGTAATTTAATTTTTAAAAGCCACAGGAGGATAGTGGCTACTACACTGGACAGTGCAGCTTTAGACTCCTTAGTAAGGAACTTTTCTAGGAAGTAAGTTTTCTCACTAACTCATCTGTAATAGGTGCCTGCCTTAGTCTTAGGACTCAAGAGATTGGCTGTAGTGGGATAAAGTACCTTATGAAGGTCAAAGTCAGAGTCTCCTGTACTGCCTGTGATCCCTACCTATCCAGAAAGGGTCTAGGAAAACCTATCACTCTATAGGGAGCTGAGCCCAGTAGGCAGCCTCTGGATGAACTGGTAGACTCTAGGAAAATAGGGAGGCTGGGCTCCCTGGGCCAGCTTTGCAAACTGACAAACTTGGGGCAGGCTGACTGCCATACAAACATCTCCTCAGCCCAGAGTTATGGAGCTAGAGACAGAAATTTGATGGAAACAATGAATTAAGAGGCTTTGGACAAGGGTGTAGGTCATCTGCGAAATTAGAAAGCACTGTTTATAGAATACAGGGTCAGTTGAGTTCAACACTCTGTCATTTATAGATCACCCTGAAGCCAGCAGGCACCATTAATAAGAAAATATTAGAAAATAAGGGAAGAGGGTCAGCACCCAGACTCTTCCCTCCCTCGGCTGTGCAAAAGGCCCTCGAAGGTCTTGGAACTTGACTCTCTGCTTAAGCCCCAGCCTTATTTGTATGCCACCAGTGAATGGTTGGGGGAGGTGCAGAGAAGTATGGGGGCTGGTCCTCCACCCTCTCAATTTTCATTCATCTTTTCTTTCATTTGGATGCCATGAGATCCCATGACTTCCATTATTTTAATCTGTCCAATAAAGTGATTTATTGAAGTGTCTATTTGAATGTGAATTAAGCTATATAACATATTTCATACTAGTAAATTAATAAGCCAAAAAAGTTGTCTCAACAAATCATTTGTCTTGATTTTGAGGTCAGAAAATATAGTCACCATGTCCCCAAGTCTCTAAAGTGAGTGACTAAAAAAGTGCTAGGACAGGCCATGGAAGCAGCAGATAGGAAGATGTGAGTTATCTGGGATGAAATTTTTGGCAGAAAATGGCCAAGAAAACAGTTTGGGCCCTTAGTCTCATGCTTTTGACATCTCATTGCATCCCTGATGTCATGAAAAGAGTCTAAGCTTTGCAACAAGTGGCTATAAGTTCAAATCTAGGCTCTGGATTCAAAACCAAACACCTCAAGGCCTGGGCTTTCTGAACTTCAGTTTTCTCGCCTATAAAACAGGCACAATGACACCTATAATGCTGGAGGCTGTGGAAACAAAATAATAACATGAAATATGTAGCCTAGTGCCTGGCATACAACAGAAACCAAAGTGATCTCTAGGTTTCTTTCCTGGATTGTAAAGTACAGTTCTGAACCCCTCTTGCCTTGTAGGCAGATTAGATTTCTGTTATTCCTAGATATATTATTTTATTTCACTAATCCAGACATAATAAAAATAACAATATAGCTTTTGCTAAGTTTGTACAACATTTACTCTTACAACCACTTTGTTGGGGAGGTATTGTTATCATTCCATTTTATAAATTCAGAATCTGAGGATCAGAGACTTAGTCAACACCACAAAACTAGTCAGTGGCAGAATAAGGATTCAAACTTAGGTCTGTATGATTGGATGCCATCCTTTGGAGGGCCAGGCAACCCTACCCTGCAGGGATGAGAAGGGTTTGGTTGCTTGGGATTCCCTCCCCAGCCAACAGCCTCACCTGTGTAATTCTTCATCAGAGGGCGAATACTTGGCAGTAACATCAGCCAGCTCTCCAAAGATCTGTTTGCTGTAAACTGTGAGGGACGATAGCAGGATCAACTCCTGCCATGTAGAGCTCAAGAGGCACGTGTAATCCTTGATTGAGAGCTCGCAGAAGAAAGGCAGCTTCTTGATCCAGGCAATCTGCCTAAAGAGCAGCTCATCGGCCAGACGGCAGAGCAGGGCAAACAGCTCTGCCTGTGTCACAGCATATCTGGGGGCAGGGACAGGAAAAATCACTTCCATCAGCCAGAGGGGAAGGATAGGGACCCAGGGAAAGGATAGTCTTAAAGGTACAAAGTGTCCCTGGCAGTTCTCCCTTCCCCTTGACTACAGAGATCTCTAGTATCATTCAACTCAATTTTCTTATAAAGGGGCAAGACAGACCAGAAGCAAGCTCAGGGCCAAAAAAATGTTTTTTTTGTGAGAAAAGGTTGCTGGGAGGAAAAGAGATTTAGAAACCTGTGCAATTATCAGGGAGTATAGTATTTTTTCCCCAGATAATAGAACTCATATTAGACTCTTGCAGGGGCAAGAGGGGACCCTCAGAGAGGCTGCCCCAGCCAGGGAGGATGATTTTTCAAATTGGTGTCCTCTAATGTTCTATGTTTCAGAAAATTCCTAGTCACTTTTAGCAATGTAAACTTCAGTGGGGTGATCTGGTGCTCACCCAAACTCAGGCACCAGCACAAAAATGAAACTTAGGGCAAGACAGCCAAAGCCAAAAGGAGTCCAAAAGCTTTTCCTATCTCACTGCACCCTCTGGTGGTGAGAGTTCAAGAACTAGAGCTGCTCAGCCCTTTCTTTTTCTTTTCTTTGCTACCAGGGATTGAACCTAGAGGCACTTAACTACTGAGCTACATTCTCAATGCCCCCTACCCCGCTTTTTTTATTTAGAGACAGAGTCTCACTGAGATGCTTATGGCCTCACTAAATTGCTGAGGCTGGCTTTGAACGCAAGATCCTCCTACTTAAGCCTCCTGAGCTGCTGGGATTAGAGGCGTGAGCCATTATACCTGACTGCTCAGCCCTTTCTTCAGGCTTATAGTTGGATGGAAAGAGCATGGCATTTCTCAACTGTGACCTAAAGGGGGCTTCTGAGGCCATAGACTCAGGGGTCCCAGGTTTCTTCCTCTCAAGTTCCCTTAATATCCTCTTTCTCATACCCCACCCACATCCAGATATATAAAGATTTGTATGACCTTCTTGATAGTAGATATTTGAGTCTCTTCTGAAACTAGAGACTAACTTAAGGAAAACCTCAGGATATCTTTGGGGGATATAAACTTGATAACCCTCAAACAGCCTATGCTCTAGGCCCAAAGGTAAGCAATGGATGGGTTTGAAGGCTGGACAACAACTTACTCAAGTAAGGCTAACTGCAGACTAAGAGGATTTACTCCATTAACTTAGGCCCACCCAAGGTGATCACATGCAACATGCTACCCATGGGTACGCTGGCAAGGGATGCAGACAGGCCATAATCAGGTAGGGCTTTGAATGTCTTGTTAAGGAGCCTACACACAATATATTTTTACCCCCAGAATTATAGCTAAATTTACTGTGCAGAAGCACTCAGATATGTCCTAGGGCCTGGTTTACCTAACCATGATGAAACAAAGCTCTTCCATCCCAATTCCACACAGACAGAAAAGTAACTCCAACTTTATTATGAGAAAAGATGCTTAAGGACTGGTTTTGAAGATAAGCACAGGTTTGTCTTCTGATGCTTAAATCATCACTCATTAACCCCTCATTCATTTCAAAGCCTCTGGCACACCAGCCAGGGATGCAAGTGGGTGCACTGTTGGAGCATACTAAGATTGCCAGAGGTCAAGCAGCACAGAGCTCACTTACCCATCTTCGATCAACATGGGTGTGCCCAATGGTTCCAGGTCCTCAGCTGACATCAGTTGGTGAATCAGGCTGTATGACTGGGGGTCAAGGCTTCGAGCTTGTGGGGGCAGAAGTGGTGAGTGGCCAGAATAGCTAAAAAGGTGTGGTATGTATTGATAATGTGGGGGCACAGACATCCCCATATACTGATCCCTGAATGTCATGAATCCGTTTAGTTCCACAGACCTACTGGAGAAAAAAATTTCAAGTCAAGCAAAGCCAAGGCAGGTCCCGTGCCTACTCAAAGAAAACAAGTCAGCAAGTGGCTTAGATGTTCTTTGGTCATGAGGTCTGTGTCTCACCAAGCCAGGGGACATAATTAATGATTATGTGCATGTCTCCTAGACTCCCATCTGTGAGACATAAATGTGGGGCTCACCATTGGACACTCAAGTGCCTGGCAGAGTAGGTACTAAATATATATTAGTTGAATGAATTCTTTGTACAGGTGCTACATCTGAAGAGTTTTTAATGGATACTCAGAGACTAGGATGACAAATGTGGGTGTTTGCATTATTTTACCATTAGGAAAATGAAGGCATAGATAGACCACTTGTCAGGCCACAGAACAAATCCAGTACCAAGCAAGTAACATGGCATGTGGCAAAACCCCCCTAACTATTCAAAGGAAAGAACAAACTAAGGAATAATCCTAGAATAAAAACTATGATTAAATATGAAGAGGAAGACTTCATATTCATCCCTGGCTTCCCTTTTCTTGGGGAAATCTCACCACTTTCTGAACTAATTAAAAAAAAAAATTCTCTAGCTTTTACCTAGACATATATTCTATAATCAAGTTTGGCAAACTACATCCTATAGACTGTGGTCTGTTTTGGTAAATGAGACTTTGTAAACCAGTAATTCAGACCTACTGGTTACATGTGGTCTGTGGCTGCTTTCCCACTTTAAAGGTAAAGTTGAGTAGCTGAGACCCAGATCATTAGGGCTGAAAAGTCTGAAATACATACAGTCTTTATAATGTCTGTCAACTCCTGTCCTAAAAGAAAGGTTTCTGGGGAAAAATAGACTTTCCCTGAAGCTGAAGGTTCTATTTCACACCTGACAACTAACTTAACATAGCATGCTTGAAAGAAGAGTCTCTAAATTAGTATTCCCTGACGCAGCAAATTTAACTGGCTTATAAAACCTTCACTCTTTCAAGAGCTGGGGAGGCTCAGAAGGTAGAGTGCTTGCCTTGCATGCACAAGGCCCTGTGTTCAACCCCCAGACCACACACACACACACACACACACACACACACACACACACACACACACACACCCCAAACAAATAAAAAACAACACCTTAACTCTTTCTTAAAATTTATAAACTAAAAAACATTGATTCTTATGAGGCAATTAAAAGAAATTATAACAATTTGATTTTTTTTTCGTGTATAGGGGATTGAACCCAGAAATACTTAACCACTGAACCGTATCCCATCTCTTTTTTATATTTTATTTAGAGACAGGGTCTCCCTGAGTTGCTTAGGACCTAGCTAAATTGCTGAGGCTGGCTGTGAACTCACTATCTTCCTGCTTCAACTTCCAGAGCTGCTGGGATTACAGGTGTGTGCCACCATAGACATTGTCAGTATGACTTGTTTTATTTAATGATAAAATGAGAGATTTGATCTCTAGCACATTATAAATAAATTAAGTAAATAAAGGAAAAGCACTATATTTAAACATTATTCTGCTAGGTGAAGACTTTATGGGCATATATGATTAGTCTATAGAAGAGACCACTGACATTTTTAAGGTTTTTAGCATAAAATGGGCTGGGAAACATGGCATAATCCATTCCCCTACCCCAGAGTCTGAGGGAGTAAGAGCACAATGGCTGAGAGAGCCTGGCAGGAATACTCAGCCAGAGGTTTCTTGTGTTCTACTCTTTGGGTGGACTCTAGATGGAGATCCTGGATTTGCCTTAAAGCTCACCTGGAGGACAATGTGGAGCCTGGGGAGGGCTGGTTGCTCTCTGAAGCTCTGTTCCCGGGGGAACTGTGGTCGCTGTCACCATGGTTGCTCCAGTGATTGGCTTCTTCCTCAAATTCCTGTCCAGACATGATCCTTTCGATCTCTTCTTCTGATATCTTTGACAAGGAATGAATATATGTTAGATTCAGTGCTTAAGATACCCTCTGTTTGTCCTTCAGGACTCAGAGCTTATTTAAATCTCAGAGGATTCCCAGGTTCCCTCTCTTCCACCTCATACTCCAGGTCTCCCCCAATCTTATGACAGCTTGAGTGCATACTGCCCAGCACCAAACACAGTTCATCAGAGCGTTCCCCTTGCCCACTTAACCTGCTCACATGCCACAAAGTCTATGTGTTCCTTGACACTCCTCTTTGTCCTCGAGTCTACACTTTCCTAACTCAATGACAATCTCCTTTTAAGAGTCAGTTCAAGGGGCTGGGGTTGTAGCTCAGTGATAGAGAACTTGCCTATAAGTACTGGGTTTGATCCTCAGCACACATTAAAAAAAACAGTTATTGTGTCCATAAAAAAAACATTAAAAAAGAAGTTCACCATTTCTGAGGCTGGCTTTGAACTCACGATTCTTCTATCTCAGCCTCCAGAGCCACTGGGATTACAGGTGTGGACCACTATGCCCATCTTCATCTTTACTTTTAATGTTTTTTTAGACAGGGTCTTGCTATGTTGCCCAGGTTGGTCTCAAACTCCCAGGCTCAAGCAATCTTCCTGTGCCAACCTCCCAAGTAGCTAAGAATACAGGTGTGTGCCACTGTGCCCAAGCGTCATTGTTATTTTTATAGCACTATAGTAACATATAAAAGTATCCTCTAAAGACCTAAGGCCATGAAAGGACCTAGAAAAGAAGAAGTACTTAGTAAATGTATGTTAAATACACAGACAATGTTCCATTTATTAAATACTGCCTATGTGTGAGTAGGAAATACATTTTTTCCCCAGTAGGAGATACATTTCTAATCCTATTAAGTAAAAGAAGAAATGGCAGCTCACATAGTGAACTGACTTAAACAAAGTCACACTGTATGCCTACATCGGGCAGAGTTTGAGGAAGAGGTTAGAGTATGCAAGTATTCAGTCCAGTGCTCTAGCTACTACCATATAGAGAGTAAATACGCTTCTTCTATAAAGTCTTTCACCTAGAGTTGAGGTCTAACTGGCTACATTCATTACACAGAAGGAGATTAAGTACTAAGGAGGTGGGGCCAGATGACTTTTTATGTGTTGTTCCTATGGAAACCTGGGAGGACATTTTCTTTGAAACCTGTCTAATTCAAATCTGCATAATTCTTTGCTCCACCAGTCTCTAAGAGAACCCTGAGTTACCTCTATAAATACAGAAACATTCAGAATTGGAAGACAGCTAGCACACAGGACTTGAATAAGAAAAGGTTTAACTGGTACATAAATTGAAAGGTTGGTTTGAAATCCTTTGGATTACATACTACATTGGAAGGATTTTTTTTTTTTTAATTCAGTAGGAGTTGTATATAGTTTAAAAAGAAAAAAAGAAAAAAAAAGAAGAAACAAAATATATCTGTCTTTTCTCTTCAGGCGTTCTCAGAACTCTACCCCCGCTCCCCGTTTTTTTTTTTTTTTTTAGCATCAAAAAAATCAGTGATTGTGGTGAGAGCTAGACCAGAGCTTGAAGAGCCAGAAAAACTTTGGCTGGGTGAAAAGGGTCCTGGTGAAGTCAGCTTACTTCAGCTGGGGGCTGAACCTGTCTCTCTCCCTGTGCACCAATGGGATACTGGGCAATCAGTGATACAGAGAATAGAAAACAGAACATATTGAGAGTGGGTTCAAATTTCCTCATTTCCTAGCTGGGTGCTATAGGGTAAGTTACTCAAGCTCTCTAAGCCTCAGTCTCCTCATCTGAAAAATGAAAACAACATTACCTCCCTGTAGCTCATGGTTCTCCTACAGGATGCTAAAGCAAAGAATTACGCAGGTTTGAGTTGGATAGATTTGTGCACTGTGGGTGGGAATATAAATGGTACAGCTGCTATGAAAAACAGTATGGAGGTTCCTTAAAACCTTAAGGTTTTAAGATTCTTAAAACAGAACTACCATATGATCCAGAAACCCCACTTCTGGGTATTTGCCCAAAAGAACTGAAATCAGAATCTCCTAGAGATATCTGCACTTCCATGTTCACTGCAAAATTATTCAAAATAGCCAAGAGGTAGAAACAACCTAAATGTGCAATAATGGAGGAAAGGATAAAGAAAATGTTGTATAAACACACAAAGTCTTAAAAAAGGAAGGAGTTCCTATTATACATGCTACAAGGATGAACCTTGAGAATGTTATGCTAAATAAAATAAGCTATGGGTCAAATATTTCATGATCCTACTTTATGAGGCATCTAAAGTAGTCATATTCTTAGAAACATAAGTAGAATGGTGTTTGCCAGGGGCTGGGGGTCGGGAGCTGGGGAGCTGCTGTTAGAGTTACTGTATAGAGTTCAGTCGTGCAAGATGAAAAAGTTCTAGAGACATGCTATGTAACAATATGCATACAGTCAAGAACTGGACACTTGAAAATTTGTCAAGGTAGTTGGGTGTAGTGGCTCATGCCTGTAAATGCAGGAGGACCCCAAGTTTGAGGCTAGCTTGGGCAACACAGCAAGATCCTCTGTCTCAAAATAAAACAAAAAGAGCTGAATGTAATTCAATGGTAGAGCGCTTGCTTAGCATGCCTAAGCATGCCCTTGGTTCAATCCCTAGCGCTGCAAAGGGAAAATAAGTTGTCAAAGTAGAACTCATGTTATATGTTTTTGTCACTGAGCTATACTTTTTTAAAAAATTTCTTATTTTTAATCAGGATCTTGTTAAGTTGCCCAGTTGGCCTTGAGCTTGTGGTCCTCTTGCCTTAACCTCCCAATATATACAGTCACTACCTGTATATCTTTTACCATTAAAAAAACAAAAACAAAAACACAACAACAACTACTAGTCCAGATTGAAATAGATTAACTCACAAGATATGACTTGAAAAATAATAATAAAAATTATTTTACAAAAAGAACACATACCTTGTACACACAGGGCCCTGGATTCAAACCCCAGCACCATTAAAAAAAAAAAAAAAAAAAAACCCCCAGAATTGTTGTGTCTTTTTTATTTTTTGGATACCAGGGATTGAACCCATGGATGGGCATTTGGCCACTGAGCCACATCCTTGACCTCATTTTGTATTTTATTTAGAGACAGGGTCTCACTGAGCTGCTTATCACCTCGCTATTGTTTTTGAACTTATGATCCTCTCGTCTCATCCTCCTGAGCTGCTGAGATTATAGACATGCACCACTGTGCCTGGCTTGGGGATCTTATATGGACACACAAACACATACACCCTGATTGAGTACACACTGTGTACCTAGTTCATGTAATAGGAAATCTCCCATACATAAGTATGTACCTGACTTTCTTCATTTGTTCACATTTAATTGGAGAAATACCATCAATTAATTATCTCTTGAATCTGTTCCCTCCTCTCAAAATGCACTGTCATTACTCTACTGCAAACTATTACCTATATGTCTTGGAGTGGACTTCTGTAAAACCCTTTTCACTGTTTTCTCTTTCTTAGTTTTATTTACTCTAGTTCCACTCCTCACAAACTGGAAATTTCCACTGTTAGAATGATTTTTCTAGAGCGCTTACCTAGCATGTATAAGGCTCTGGGTTCAATCACTAGTACTGCCAAACAAACAAATGAAAAAAAATTTTTTTTTCTAAAAGGAGAATCTGAGTATGCCCCACTCACCCACATTTAAACTCTTTTAGTAGCTTGCTCTTGGCTCACACCAAAAATTCTTAGTTCATACAGTCAAAGACAGACAAAGGCCACTTTTTAAAGAACTGATTCCAAATTCAAGTAATCTGCCTTATCTCCTGCCACTCTATTACATGAGCTGAATGCTATAGCCTCACTGAACAAATTCTTTGTCATTCCTTAAAACATTCATCTTTGGGTCTTTTCACAGTCTAGGACAAATTAAAAACGTTTAGCTTCCCACCCTTCCCCAACACAGCTAATTCTTCCTCCTCTTTCAAGACTGAGTTCAAATTTGCCTTCTCAAGGAAGCTTTCCCTGAGTGCCTCCAGTCTCAACCAAGGTTCCAGCCCAAAGGAAAGAGAAGCCCTGCCCTGGGCTGGATCATTAGGCCCATGGAGTGAAGAGGGCATTCTCTGTTAAATCTTATGATACTATGTTGTCTGTTTACATCTCTGTCTCTCCCATTAGACAGAGTTCATAGTATAGAGCCTGACAGGGAGCAGGGGATGTATCTCAGTGGTAGCATGCTTGCCTAGCATGTATAAGACTATGTATTTGATCCCTAGCTTCAATAAAAGTGGGGGGGGGAACCCCAAAACCCACCAACTTGGCAAAGTAGGAACTTAGCAAATGTTTGTGGGATTGAAAGCAGTATTACTCTATTAATAAGGTAATGAACATTCTGCTGATAATCTTTAGATGAAATGAACAGCAAAGTATCTTGCAAATGAGAGGTCTAAAGTGAGCAGCTACAGGAGCATATGGAGCCCAGGCCTTCTAGGACAAAACAAGAGAGTAGGGCCTAGAACTCACCTGGACTGGCCCAATGCTCTTATTCCGGCCTCCAGGCATGCCATCTTCTCTGATAGCTGGAAGGAAACATAAGTTAAAGTAGTCAGAAGCATGCTCACAAGTCTAAACTTAAAAAGAGAATTTACATGGCCCAAAGTAGCAAGGTAGTAATTGGTGAAGCCAAGATTAAAACACAGATGTTTTTGGACCCAAAGCACATACTCTTTTCTGTTCTTGTAGGCAACCTTATACGCAGGGGATACTTTGGGGCCCCCAGGACACCAGGAACATACTGCATAAATCCCACCAGGATAATGCATCTTACGGCTTTGGTAAATTCCAGGTGAGAGACAGAGAACAGTTTGTTTGCTCATTTATTCTTCATACTAGGGATTGAACCCAGGGGCAATTAACCACTGAGCCACATCCCCAATCCTTTTTTGTATTTTATTTACAGACAGGATTTCAATAAATTGCTGAGGCTGGCTTTGAACTCACGATCCTCCTGCCTCAGCCTCTAAAGCTGCTGGGATTATAGGCCTGAACCACCAAACCTGGCTGAGAATATTTATATTTTTAAATAAAATATTTTTTATTCCTAAGCTAAGTTTAGGTCTGGTAGGATCAGGAAAACAGATTTTTTTTTTTAAATAGAATTGGAATTTTGAACTCACTGGCACAAAGGCAGTAAGTAGTTGTAGGAGCTTGCTTAGCATTTTCCAACTATACAAAACATCCTTTAAATAGTACTGGCCACACTAAGGACAACAACTACTAGTACTATCGTCATCAGTGTTAATGAACCACTTAAAATGGGGACACACGGGGCTGGGGATGTGTCTCAAGCAGTAGCGTGCTTGCCTGGCATACGTGCGGCCCGGGTTTGATCCTCAGCACCACATACAAACAAAGATGTTGTGTCCGCCGAAAACTAAAAAATAAATATTAAGATTCATATTCTCTCTCTCTCTCTCTTTAAAAAAAAAATGGGGACACACGAAGGAAGACCTCATTAGAAATTAAAGTAGGACTCTGATCGTTAGGCAAAGCTTTCTGGAAAAGACAACTTCTGAACTAAGTCTTAAGATGAGGAGGATTTAGGCAAGCAGGAAAAGTGTGCTCCAGGTTGACTGAACAGAGTATAGAAAAGCTTCAAGTCAAGCCAGGCATGGTGGAGTAAGCTTATAATCCTAGTGGCTTGGGAGGCTGAAGTAGGAGGATCCAGAGTTCAAAACCAGCCTCAGCAAAAGCGAGGTACTAGGCAACTCAGTGAGATCCTGTCTCTAAATAAAATACAAAAATAGGGCTGGAACGTGGCTTAGTGATTGAGTGGCCCTGAATTCAATCCTCAGTACCTCACCCACCACCAAAAAAAGGGAAAAGCTTTAAGTCAAAACTAAGAATGGACTGCTCTTTCTAGGAACTTCCAGGTGGTTAGATCTGGATAAGACACTGGAGGGGTGAAGGTGGAATGTGAAGAAAAAATCGCAAAATAAGGATGGAGAGGCCAAGAGAGGCCAGGTCATCAAGAGCCTAGAATGTCAGGTTAAGGATAAAATGGACTTCAGCTGAGGAGCCTGGGGACAGGCAGAGATGCAAGGGAGTGATGTGGTCACACTGGTATTTTTGAAAAATCTTTGTGATGATCACTGTCTTAGGTGGCTTTAAAGAGGTAATGCTAATGACAGAGGATATACTAATGCCATTATGTGAGAGCAAGCTTTGCAACAAAAACAAACAAAAAAGCACATAAGGAATCTAGGAAGTCCTTGGGGAAAGGTTGATTGCCGCAAATGGTGAGGGCTGTAAATACAACACTCAGTTTCTGATGGAAAGTTCATTTTCCTTAAAGTAGACATCATCCTTGATGTCCTCAGATTTTACATTTCAGAATTAGACAAGTTTGCCCAATCTGTGTAATTACAAATTTCTTTACCCCTCTGAAGCTCAGTTTACTGAAGAGTAAAGAGGGGATACTAGTACTTGTCATGTTACATAAAATAGTACAGTTAAAATAAGCACAAAATAGTGGTAATGACTCTCCCTCTCCCCAGCCTTTTTTCTCTGAACAAAGGAGATAAGCAAACCAAGATTCCTTTTTTTTTAAAAAAAAAAAAAATTACTTTTTAATTACAGGTAGACACACAATATCTTCACTTTATTTTTATGTGGTGCTGAGGATCGAACCCAGTGCCTCAGGCGTAGTAGGCGAGAACTCTACCTCTGATCCACAACCCCAGGCCCTGTTTTCTATTTACTTTTTAATATTATTTTTAGTTGATAGACCTTTTATTTTATTTATTTATATGCAGTGCTAAGAATCGAACCCAGTGCCAGTGCCCACACATGCCAGGCAAGTGCGCTATTGCTGAGCCCCAGCCCCAGCCCCCAAGGTTCCATTCTTAACTTTGTAAAATCTTAATATCTTCATCTGCAAAACCAAGGCAATAAAGTCAGCTTTACAAGTCTGTTGTGAATATGGAGTAAGAAACATACATGGTCTATATTGTTAGACGTATGCTAGCTGTTGCCTGGGAGCTCGCTTTAGACCTAATTTCGAGTTCTACGAATCCTTAAAATTCCTTCTCTGCTATGCCAGGGTCAATGATAACTTTAGTCACTTCTTATACTGACATGTCACATGTCTATCAGCTTACAGCTATAAATCAAAGACCTAACTCTGAATGGTGCAACGCTGAATATCTTTTAGAAGACATCTCACACTCACTGTCCTGGAGGTTGAGGAAGAAACTCAATATGCTTAACTTTTATTTTGTTTAAAGGTCCACAGATCCTAAAGTCTTATATCTTGCCATTTCTTATTCTAAAACTAGAAAGTTTATGTCCTCCCTAAACCCCAACTGAAACAAGGAAAATTCACATATGATGGACATGTGCAATGTATTAGGTACTAAAACTCATGAGGAGAATATTAGCATTGCTCCCACTAAAGAGCTCAATGTAAGGCCCAAAGAAATGAAGAATTTTCTTCAAGGAGAGAGAGAGAGAAAATAAACATCAGAATCAATGTTGAAACGCAGACTATAAAACTCTAAGACCAGTCTTCTTTCCATTACCATTATTTCATATAACATTTATGTGTCCTACTGGAGAAATATAACATACTTCTATGTGGTGCATAAACTCTTTTATTCTAATATGTATTTAAAATACTGATTTTTTTTCATTCAACTTTTATTTTTTTAAAGTGTATTTAAAGGAGAAGATAAGGTAAAGATGATAAAATTCATCAAAATGGCATGTAGAAACCTGAAGTATGGGAAAAAAATTCAATGTGCCATAATGCCTCTGTTAAAACAAAACCCTGCATTATATTACAGCTCATAGTTGTGTATATGTTATTTCATTTGATCATCACAACCACCTTGGAAGGTACACATTTGTACTATTATCTATGTCTTTTAGAGATGAGGAAGTAGAGCTCGGTGAGGTAGAGACTTACTCTAAATTACTCATAAAGAACTGACAGAGCTGAAATTTCAGTTAAGATTTTGGCAACCAACCAAACCCAGAAACCAGAAATGTGACACAAAACATCCAATCCCTGCTCAAAACCCGTTGGTGGCTTTCTCTGGTGTAGGGGCTAAAAGCCTAAGTTCCTCAGCGTGGCATTCAAGACTGTCTGTGATCTGGTTCCTATGGGGCTCTTCATCCTCACCTCTGGCCATAAATGCTACTCCCTTGCTGCAGAAAACTATTTGTTAGTCCTTGAGGATGCCATGCTGTTTTCCACAGCTGTACCTCTACCATATGTTGCCTCTGCTCAGAAAAAAACCTTTACAGTGGAGAAGTCTGGCAAAACCACTTTACCCAAGACATCACCTTTACCAAATGATTCAGGTTGGCAGCACCAATAATGGTACAAACTCACAACCACATCCTCTTAATATGATGACCTTAGAGGAATGCAACATTGTTTCCGTGAATTTTCACCCAAAATGTATAACCTAAATCTTACCATGAGGCAACTGACAAACCCAAATTGAGAAATATTCTTCAATAAATTACCTATTTGCTTCAAAGTAAAAAATGTTATTCAGGACAAAATATAAGGAACTATTTCTGACTAGAGAAGACTAAAGATAAACAAATGTCTTCAATGATCCTGGATCGCTGGCTCTAGATCAGGAAAATCACAATTGCTATAAAGGACATTAGGATAACTGGTGAAAATTAAATAAGGTCTGTTAATTAGAAAAAGTATCATGTTAAATTCCCTGATTTTAAGGACATAGTGAAGTTCTACTGTTGCAAATTTTCTGTAAGTTTGAAATCATTTCCAAATAAAACACGAAAACCAAGTTTAAAGGTATTTTAAAAGTCCTTTAACCCAGGTGTGGTGGTGCACACTTGTAATCCCAGCGACTGGGGAGGCCAAAGCAGGAGAATCACAAGTTTGAGGCCTGCCTCAGCAATTTATCGAGGTCCTAAGAAACTCAGTGAGGTTTCAAAATAACCTGTCTCAAAATAAAAAATCAAAAGGGCTAGGGATGTGGCTTAGTGGTTAAGTGCCCCTGGGAACAATCCTCTGGTTTGAAGGAATCAATGTTTCAGCTCCTTATAAACTTAAAGGTTCTTTTTTCCCCTTAAAGTTTGTAAGGAGTTGAAACTTTGATTCCTTTAAGAAGCTGCTCAAATGTTATCTGTCCTTGAGATTTCTCAATGCTCCATTCAGGCCTCTGTACTGTGTCCTGGCACTTTTTCTCCTGATACAATGATATGCCAATGCCAGAGAAGCGCTGTCTTACAATGCATCCAGAAAATATCACCTCCTCTAGGCAACTGTCCTTAACCTTTTTCTTCTGAACCATTACTATAATTAGCTAGTTACAAAACCACAAAATTAAGAATCTTTTTTTTTTTTTTAAATTGGGGATTGAACTCAGGGGATTACACCATTGAGTTATACCCTTTTTACTTTTTGAGATAGTGTCTCCCTAAATTGCCCAAGCTAGTCTGGAACTTGTCATCCTTTTGCTTCGTTCTTGGGTCTCCTGAGTAGCTGGGACTACAGGTGTATGCCACCACATTCAGTGAGGCATGTTTTACATTAATT